TGTTATATACATTAATTAATATATTAATTAGTGTATCAATTGATGGTGTGACATAATTTAAAATTTATATAATTAGTAGGATCAATGATAATATTATAACTAATATTAGTATACTAATTAATATATATAGTACTACCGAATAACAAAAGAAGAGAAAGTGAACCGATGAAACTTCTCCACTGAACTGATTAGCACTTAAAAGTAATAAAAATAACAATAATAATAATAATAATAATAATGTGTGTGCAAATAGAAAGTGCTGTGTTGGTAGGGCTGCAAACGAGCCGAGCTAAGTTTTAGTATGTTTAGATTTGTTTATTAAAATTTTAACGAACTCGAGTTCGATCTGAATAAAAATTTAACGAACCGAGCTCTAGCCGAGTTGGGTTAGGCTCGACTCGAGCTCGAGCCTGTTCACAAGCCTTAACGAGCCAAAAAATTTATAAATTCATACTTGTATGTGAAACTAAAGTTACAATTAAAACATTGATTATACAATTATATATGCAATATATATAAACATACTTAAAAAAAAAAATTCATATTTTACTAAAATTATAATATTTACTACCACTATTATATAAATATACTATCTATAGTTAACTATTATTTACATTTATATTTTTTAAATATATAAATATCATATTTCTCTTATTTTTTATACATATTTTTATATTATTTAATATATAAATAATAAATATTAAACGAGCCGAACTTTAGAATGTTTAGGCTTACTTATTAAAAATTTAACGAGTCCGAGCTCAAGCTTGAACGTAAAAAAAAATTACCGAACCGAGTTTGAACAAGCTTTTACTGAGCCGAGCTCGAGCCTATTTACGAACAGCTCTGTTCATTTACAGCCCTATGTGTAGATATCATCGGTTATGATGTCACTATATTTCTCTAATTATTGACATGAAAAATAAATTACTTATAAAGATGATCTAAAAAATATATTTTCAAAGGTCAAGATTACGAGCCCACTTAGTAATTTTTTAGTCTCTAATCTAATGTACAGCTCACAGTTCATCGGATTTTGGAACAACTTCAAGCCTATCAATGCATACTTCAATTTTTATTTGTTCTAGTTATTAGAACAACAATTTGACCGCTGGCCAAAACTAGAACTACAAACAAGCTAAGATGCTCAATTTTTTTTTGAAAACCAAAAGTAAGTTTATATTATTTAGTTTTCAAGCTCATTAAGTTTTCTAAGCTCGTTTAGTACTTAATGAAGTTTAATCGATTTTGTTTTGAATTGAATTAATGTAATATTTTAGTTCAATCACATGAAATTTGTACAAGTCATTGTGATGGAGATTTGTTGTAACTTTTTTGAATAAGATTCCATTAATTAACAATTCAAGAAGCTAAAAAACACAAGAAAATAATAATAAAAGGCCACTAAAATCCGCAATAAAAAAGCATTAAAATAAGACTTACACCACTACAGCTGTAGCAAGTTGTTCATATCACAATAAATAATAAATAAATAACAAAACAAGAGAAATTGAACTAATGAAGCTTCCCGGTGAACTTATTAGCACTTGAAGGTAGTGTAATAATAATAATGATGATAATGATAATAATTATAATAATGTGTATGCATATAGAGGGGTGTTGTGTCGGTATCATCGGTCAGTATAATGTCACTGTATTTCTCTAATTATTGACACCAAAAATGAATTACTTATAAAGATGATCCAAAAAAATTCTGTTCAAAGGTCAAGTTTACGAGCCCATTTAGTAATTTTTTAGTCTCTAATCTAATATAAAGCTCACAATTCATTGGATTTTGGAACTACTTGAAGCCTATCAATGCATACTTCAATTTTTTATTATCCTTTTTGGTTTTTATTTGTTCTATTTTTTAGAACTACAATTTGTCTGTTGGCCAAAACTAGAACTACAAACAAGCTAAGATGCTCAATTTTTATTTGAAAACCTAATATAAGTTTCAAAGTGTGATTAAGTTTGTATTGTTTAGTTTTCAAGCTCATTAAGTTTTCTAAGCTCGTTTAACACTTAATGAAGTTTAATCGAACCGAACTTTAGTTTGAGTTTTTTTAGTACATATAAACTTACCAAGTGGATCTTACAAAATTAACAAGCTTCAAAATATATTTGAATTTGACTTGTTATTATATCGAGTTGACTGGAGTAGCTTGATTAATTTCACCGCCATAGCCAAAATCTTGCATCTGCTTAGGGTTTAAATCTTCTCACTTCTGTAAAAGTTTGATTTCTTTTACATTTGTTTGTGATATAATTTGATAAATGGTTTCAATTAGTCTTATTTTTATCTAAGCTTGGGATAATTGGGATTTAGTAAAAATTTTAAGGTCTCGAGACTCTCAATACAGTAGTAAAAAAACTGAATTTGTATATACTTGAAATTTTGGTCTTGTTCAAATTTCTAAAACTATCAGTCCAATTTAAACTTTGGCACTCAGCTTTTGTTGCTAATGTAACAACAATCAAGATGATTTTTTTAAAGCTTGATTCTTTCTATAAATCATATCTTACTTTTTTGATCAAGGATGAATCAGATCTAAACTTTGAAATAAATGTTTGACCTGTAAGTTTAATGACCATTGATAATGTTGAGCACATTGATCAATTATACACGCAAGCACCGTTCTTCGAATTTTGCGCTTGATGAGCATCTTGTATTAATGATTTCATGTGATGAGGTTATATACCCAACGTATACTAATCTTTTTAAATAAATCTGTACTCCTAAACTTCAATGGCATCTGGACTATAGTCAGCCTCTCTCATATTAGAGTAATTAAACTAGCTAAATTGATCACTTTTAACTCCATCTGCTAGCTCGCCAACCAATTCCTACTTTGCCACCTTCAGCCCCTTTCCCCGATCCCCAATGCCACCGTCACCCTGCCCACCTTCCACCTCTGCCACCCAACCGCTCCCCCCAACCTCGTTGCCACCCTCAGCCCCTCTCTGAGGGGGTGGGTCTGAGTTTGAATCTTATGGTTACAAGTGCAGTTTCCTTTTATCTATTCCATATGTTATACTATGATATCATGTTAAACTATGAATGCCCAACTCATATAAAACATACAACTATTAGGTTCTGTTTGGATAGATGTAGATTTCAAATCAATGGACTTGAGCTTAATCATTCAACGACAATGACGTAAATTTAAATATGATAGTTTACTTATGAATTTCAAGATTGAGTTAAATAGTTTTATCATGATGGATTTGAATTACCTATATAAAACTAGTTATTTGAAATTATGTTAAGGATTCTCTTTATAGGTATATAAGGATCTTACTAAAATGTACATATCATCTAGCCCAACTTATCTTGTTCTATTCTTTTTTATTCATTTAATCTCAAATCCCTTGATTTGAAATTCACAACTATCCAAACAGAAACTTAGAGGGCATGATAACTTCTTTAATTATTTCTATGCTTTTCAAAGAAACTGAGTAAATTGCGTATACCACATTGCATACAGCAAGAAAAAAAAAGAAACTAATACGAAAAAAAAGGAAAAGAGCTTGATTGAAAAGAAAACTAAAATCTTAAACAAGAAAAACCTGGAGAGGCATTCTTCTAAGCAGGAGCTGCTTTGAATTTGCATGATGATTGATGATGTCGATCCCTCATGATGATCTCAGCTTGGTCACAGTATGACAATCTAACTGCAAACAAAGATTCTTGGCAAGCTTTATTTAAGCTTCTCAATGTGAAATTCAAGTCATTGCTCTCTGTCTGTCTGTCTGTCTATCTACTATCGTTCAATACAAGATTTGTCAACGGGTGTAAGTGGCTGAGGATCTTGTGTCCTAAAAACTCTCTGTCCCTCCTCCTGGTCCAATTGTTCAAAGTCGTTTGATTATGATTCATGATTTCATATGTCAAATTCTCATATGATCAGATGGATGTGATTGAATTGAGACAGAATAGCAAAAGTTCTTGGGACAGAGAATCCCTGACCGGTGTTGGTGTAACCATGAGCGTGCAACCCTCTTTCATCTCATTGAGAATTATATATGTACATTTTTTAGGTTTTTCAGATGATTTAAATCACAGGCAAGCAATTTCTGTACCTTATTGTTCACTTCAATTGTTCTTTTTGTACTGTGATTCTGCTCATAATAGTACTCACATTGCCTGCAGCTGCAGCATATTACAATTCATTAGAGACAACAATTGAAACAGTATTGATATTCACACTTCACTTGTAATTTTCTAACGTTCTCCTCGTGAGAATTTAGAAGATTAAAAAAATAATCAAATTGTGAAAGACTTAAACTGAAATGTGTGCAAGTATCATTGCTCGAATTAATTCATGAATTAACAAAATTCTAACCGACAAGGGACTCCACATTACCTCTCCAAAGCCAATGTCACAAAGCATGGAGCAATGTTCCCCGCAAGACAAGCCAATATTCAGACCTGTTGAATAAGTACAAAGGCTTGTCGAGGTGACGATGATGTCTCTACCTTGTCCCGCGAAGGTACAAGTATATCCCTATCCTGACCAGCCAAGAGAGACAATCTTAGCATGTGATCCCAGAGATACATGGCATCTGTATGCTACTTAGCACACCTAGTACAACACAAATAGTTAACTCTACCTCTCCAGTTAGTGTGGATCCCTCTACACCCATGTTGTTTTACTCCCTGTTGGATGGGTTGCATTGCTTCTCCCCTGCATGATCCTTTTGTCTGACACATTCTCCGTTTCAGGCCTTTCGGCTTAGGCAGTTAGACCCTTGCGCACTTTCAACTATCTAAATTTAAAAAAAATAAAAATAAATCCTGAATTCTTTTCAATGATTTTGAATGGTGACTAGATTGATTCTCCTGGCTGATAGCTGATCCTAACATTGATCAGATTAATATCAATATCACAATAAGAAAGAGTCTACTGCAGGGGTCAGAGGGTATATATAGAAGAAACAATTTTATCTATGTCAACTTGACTTTAACAGATCAAGTAGAAAAGAAAAGAGAAACAGACTGTAATCAGAAGTCATAACAACTTGAATTTTGAATAATTAAAAATGGTGAACAAAAACAACCAATAGAGACATTCTTTAAGCATGTGCTGCTTCTTTCAGCAAACCAGATTGACAAATACAGTTTACCAGTAATCACCACAAGAACATGAACCATTTACAAAATGATGAAACCGGTTTCGATCCCTAACAACAATCTTACGCCCTGTAATCTTCGAAATTAGCTTCGTCACAGTATGACAATCTGAACACACCCGAAGGTTCTTGACAATCTTGATTGTAGCTCCCGGTTGACTGCTAATAAGCCCAAAAGCAATTGCAAGCTTTTCGCTGTGAACTTCAAGTGATCGCTTCTTTTCAAATTCTCCGATATCATGTAATACTATATCTGTCTGTGGGGTATAACCATGAGCCTCAAGCCATTGATACATCTCCTCTAGCATCACATAGATTTGTTTGCTTTTTGGATGCCTCAAATCTCCGGCGAGGAACTCATGTACCTTATTGTTCACTTCAATTGAGCTACAACCCGGCTCCTTTTGTACTCCACCCCCTTTCATCATAGTCCTCACCCTCGCAACTCCATCCCAATTGCCCGCTGCAGCGTATATATTAGAGAGAAGAATGTAAGTTCCTGAATTTGCAAGATTCTGGCTAACAAGTTGCTCTGCAATTACCTCTCCTAGGCCATAGTTACCATGAAGCCTACAAGCACCAAGCAATGTTCCCCACAGGACAGGATCTGGGTCAATCTTCATATTTTTGATAAGTTCATATGCTTCGTCTAAATGCCCAGCACGACCAAGTAGATTAACCATACATCCATAGTGCTCAATCTTTGGTTCAATCTGGTATTCATCTTTCATTAAATGAAAAAATTTCCACCCCTCGGAGACTGAGCCTGCATGAGCACAAGCACTCAAAATACCAATAAAGGTTATATCAGTAGGGTGGACTCCTCGCCTACACATATCAGTGAACAATTTCAAAGCATCTTCGGTGAATCCATGCATTGCATACCCAACAATCATTGAATTCCACGCAACAACATCCTTGTCCTCAATCATATCAAAAACCAATCGTGCATCCTCCAAACTTCCACATTTGCTATACATATCAACCAAAGCAGTACCCACATGAACATCGAACCGAATCCCATTATTTACAACGTAAGAATGAACCCACCTGCCCAACTCCACCGCCCCGAGCTGCCCACAAGCAGAGAGGACTGTTAGCAGAGTTACTTCATTAGGTTTCACTTTCAGACCCAACATTTGCCTAAAGAGTACCAAAGCCTCGTTTGACCTCCCGTGCTGGGTATAACCATCGATCATCACATTCCAGCAGACAACATCCCTCTCTTCCATTCCATCAAACAACAATCTTGCTCCATCAACGTCCCCATGCTTTGCATAGCAAGTGATCATGGCAGTCAAAGAAACCAAACTCTTGTCAGGCATAGTATCGAACAAGTGGCGTGCGGACACCACATCGCCACCTCTCGCATAAACATCGAGCAGAGCGGTCCTAACATACGTATCCGAATCAAACCCAAATTTTAGGGCTTGGGAATGAAGGGCTTTTCCTGGTTCAATCGGGCATGACCTTAAGATTGCTGAGAATGTGAACGCATTGGGTTCGACGCCATGGGTCAGCATCCGAACATAAAAATCAAGGGCTTGTTGGTGGAGATTGTTGACAGCGTGGGCGTGGATAATGGCGGTGTAGAAGAAGACATCGGGGTTTTGGGTACGGTGGAAGAGGGCGGTGGAGTAGTCGAGGCGACGGAGAGAGGAGTAAGAGCGCTGGAGCTTGAAGCTGAGAATTGGGTGGCGGTCGAGGCCATGGCGGATGAGGAAAGCGTGGATTGGGAGGAGTTGGGTGATGGATTTGGATTTGTCGATCAGTAATGCGAGTCTGTCCGGTGGGAGACGGTGGTGGTGGTGGTGGTGTCTCGTGGCGGCGGAAGGTGGCGGGAGAGATGAACGATTGGCGGTGGTTATTGGTGGGGAGGGGGAGGTAAGAAGAGTAGCCCAGGGCATTTTTTAGTCACTTGTTTTTCAAAATTTTGGCGCCATAAAACATTTGTTTAGCAATTTCTATTTCGGTTACCTTAGCTCATCTTCAATGGTGTATCAGATTAAATATCAAATTTAAATTTGATGAAAAAAGTTTTTTTTTCCCTCTCCAATGGTTTCACTAAATTGATATCAAACTGAGAACAGAACAAAACTTTCATCAAACTGAGGACAAGTGCGAGATTTCAGTATTTCACTGTGCATGTCCGGCCAGTTGACCCACCGGTCGATCTACTCCCTCAATTCTGTGAACTAGCTTATCTTGTGGAATAGATGTGAACTGGTTTATTTTCTAGAACATGTTCAAATAGGTAGGTTATTTTGTGAACTAGGAATAAATTGAAGGGTGATATAAATTTAAATTTCTATGAAAATGTAAATGAAAAAGTTACATCCTATATACATATTTTGAGTTCAAAACTAGCCGTTCTGCATCACTAATTCCAATAATTTACCATTAGGTTGACAGAGTATTTTGAAAATTTACCGTTGCTGCTGTGCTCTATAAAATATATCTGTTTGATAATATCATGCTGTGAATTTCAGTTGGATTGATAGAGTATTTCAGTTTGATAATAGCATTACATTTTGTTGTAGAGATGCTGTGAATTTTTTTAGTTCTGTGTCATTATAAATTTTTTTCCCAGTGAGCTTTAGTTTATATTATCTGATTCTGAGGTTGAGTGTATATCATTCTAATATTTTTCACTGTCTAAGTTAGATATTGTATCCTACTGAATTTGTATCCAAAAAATGCATGCCAAATCCATAAGTCATAAGAAGCTACTGTTTCAAGAATAATGATTGGCTTTTTTTTATGGCCTACGTATTGACCTTGCCATGCCTTTGGACAATTTTTTCACTCCCAATGCATGCACTCTAAACTTCCCAACATACCCGGAAACCCCCGAACCTCCCCAATAGCAAGTAATCTAACAATATCAGTTAGTGTTGGAGATCTCAGATATTCTGGTCCAAAGATTTCAATCACTGAATTACAAAATTGTTACAAACTTTGAATTGTAGTGCTTTCCCTAATACGTATATAATCATCAACTGCATTTGCTGCCACTCCATATGACAATATTCTCATAGCTAAAGTCATTTTTTGTAAGGGAGATAATCCAACAATATGAGCTGCATCTTGTTTTTGAACAAAATATGAATTGCATACTTCGATGACATTCAAAATTCGGAGATATAAAGGACGACGCATTCGAAAAATGTCTCTGAAATATTATAAGTGAATAAACTAGATTTGCCGCAAAATAATCTGCAAAAAATTTCTCATGACCCTGCCTTCTATCGCGGTGTATGTACTTATGGCTTACAACAGAACCACCCATTTTCTTTGAGTTATCAGTTGATTGCAGAATCTGAATCATACTAGCATTATTCATTTCATAAGCCCCCAAAAGTGTGACCATATATTCATCATTAGACTCATTATCAGAGGAGGATGAAGAAGAAGATGATGAAAATGAAGTAAACATCATGGAATTTAAGATAGTCATTATGCTCTATTTTCTTTCAACTATAATCGTATCACTTGTCTGGCGTATGGATAATGTGTTTATATCAGATTTTAGAAGGAAATCATTGTTGGAGCCAACAAAAAATGAAAAATATGTAATGGAGGGAAAAAGAAATACTAAACGAAATGGGAACAGAAAGGGAAGGGAAAAAAAAATTCATAAGCCTTACCGGACGACCCATTCCCTTTTGATGCACACCGTTGGAGCAAGACGTATTAGGTTGAGAAAATCAGCTATTTTTTACTCAGATTTGGTGAAAAAAGTAATGACCCGTTGGAGATGCTCTTACCTACCAGTTTGTCTGTTGGGATTAGCTTTTTAATTTAAGGTGGGTTTGGTTGGAGATTTGGGGAGATAAAGGAAAAATGAAAAGAAAAAAGGTTTGTGAAATTAAGTAAAATATATGTATATTTTATTTATATTTCACCAATCTTTTTTATTTATTTTTCTAAATCTCTTCTCAAATTCTCCAACCAAACACAATATTCAGGAAACAAAATAGGATAGTGAGGGATTTGGTCAAAATTCCCTCTTAATAAATTTTAATATATTAAGAATAAGCAGAAAAAAAATTCTTCAAAAGTCTAACACATACTCGTATTATTAAAATATTAAAATTTAAAATAATATAACTTTTGATGTACATGTCGGTTTTTAATAAAATTAGTATTTTTAGAATTTTTTCATCAAGATATATCAAATAAGATCCATGTTGACTATGAAATTCTTTAAAAAATAAGAATTATTACCGTCAAAATTAATATAAACCATAACAGTAATATGTTACTCCGGTAATATTTTCCAAAAAAAAAATATATTTTACTTTGTCCTTCCTCAATTATATGTTTTCTTCTTAGGGCGTTTATGAAGCAAAATAAATTAGACTGTCTTTTTTATCAAATAAGAGTCTAATGGAGAATGTCACGCCCCATTTTTTATTATTTGGATTCCATTACCAAAACCATTATTATAGATTCAATTTTAGAGATAGCATGCAGAAGCTCATCATATTTAATAAGAAAACTTAAGGAAGAGTTCTCTCAAACGAATGCAACATAAACATAACTAAACAAATTACCCGTAGGCTTACATCATTTAAATCGAGAAGAAGGGTTTAACCCTTTACATCAATGGCATTTCGCCTTCATATATAGAGGCCCTGTGGCCAACAAATAAGGAAGATCCATAATCTTGTATCACATCCTGATAATCACTTGAAAAGATTTAACAACGTGGGATGAACTTATAGTCCAGTAGGGATCTCAACATGATCCTCAACAATAACGACTTACAGATAGCTATGATCATGAATGCTAGTCTCATACCATATAAATAATGTGACATTTTATAACCAAAGTATACATACATACGTACTTTTCTCAAAATCATTCAGTTATTCAACAACACCAAGTTTCACTTTTACTACCCATTTCCCATTTAAACAATTATTACACAATAGCCGTTTTTTTTTTTCCATTTGTGACCAAACACCACACAATATCCATTTTATTTCTTTTTCTTGAAAGTACGCTCACTAACTCTGATTTCCTCACACTATTTATAACCCATCATATATCCAAAGTCCGACTCTCTACGTTCATCGCATTCTCAATCTGAAGTTCAATTTAAGGAGATATTTACAATAACTAATTATTGGTAGGAAACTCCCTCCACCACTCTTTAACACGTCCAAATATGCATAAACACATCTATTCAACACATAAGACGATTCAATCTTACAAATTCATAATCACCATAATACATGACACACACAGTCAAACTGAGACAACGATGATAAATGATCTTTGCTATACATGCCTGAAGCATGGTAAGCCAATGATACATCTCTCCACAGCGCACTGCCAATTTACCAGACGCAAGCTGGAAAGGAATGGTACCTCTGCCAATTCTCCAAGCGCTAGCTAGAAGAGAGTGGTACCTCTCATTATCAGCGCAACACATACACAACCAATTCTCCAGGCACTAGCTGGAAGGGAATGGTACCTCTGATTATCAACGCAGCCAATTCTCCAGGCGCTAGTTGGAAGGGAGTGGTACCTCTGATTATCAGCGCAACCAATTCTCCAGGCACTAGCTGGAGGGGAATGGTACCTCTGATTCTCAGCGCAACACACACAATCGACCATCACAACATGATAAAGTACAACCAACAAGTGTAATACATACACAACACTAATCAACACAACAATGTCATCCTCCACCGATGACCAAGGACAAAACCTCTAACAGAATGTATTAAACACGTATACCATTAACCAATTCCCATGAAACTCTAGTTCAAATTACAACAATAGTAAAAATATATATATATATATATATACAATTCAATCTTAATTTAATTTCTGAAATTCACACAATGTTGGGGTTTTATTCTTCCATTTCAAAATCCAAATTCTCTTATCCTTCTACATTAATATTCTCTGCCCTTTTTACCTCAATCCATTTATTTCAATTCCCCAAAAGAAAATATAACCAACTCAATTTCTTTCATTTCAATTAAGGGATTTCCAATCATGGCTAATGAAATTATGATTTACTCAATTTCTATTTAATGGTAGTGTAACACAATAATATTCAAAACTCATGGGTAATTCCATCCTCTTGAATATACACATTATCAATTCACTACTAACAACTATGAACAACACAACACTAAGTCAATGTTAAGAATTTTATGAGGCTCAATTAATCTCAAATAAAACAACAATTCATCATTTAATTTCCTAAGTTCATAACATGATTTTCTCCCTATTAAAACCCTTTTTTTATCAAATGAGCAATATTATTAAAAGTTTGGGTTTCAACTCTCTCCAAATATAAACATGTTAGTCCACCTTCCAAAATACACCCTACAACAATAATTACCCCATATCTCAACACCCATCTTAGATCCTCATTCATGATTTTCAAAAGAAATCCAAAACAATATGGTTTTTATGCAATATGAACGTACCACATGTCTATCTATAGGTGAAGCATTGAAGAAAATCAAGGAAATTCTTACCTTAAGAGAGAAGAAGAGAAAAAACCCAAAAATCAACCTCGTTGAAATACGATCTCCACCGGTCAAGACGAAGCCCTCGACATGCTCATCATTTTGGTATAAGGAACAAGTGCCAAAATCCCAATGGATTTTTGGGATCAAAACAAAATGCAAAAACTTTGAGGGTTTGAGTAGAGAGAGATGAGAGAAAAAAAGAGAAACATTATAGAGAGAGTGATATATTCAGATATGGGTGAAAAGGGGACAAAAAGAGCAAAATATAGTTGAAAGGCACGAAAAACGAAGCAGAAAACGCTACTGGCCGCACGTGCGGCACCTACTACCGCACGTGCGGAGCGGCCTCCCGCACGTGCGGCTCCCACCCCTGCACGTGTGGTTTCCCTCGCACCTCCACTCGCGCACCTGCCTTTTAGGCAGTGTGCACACAGCACAAATCCCCTATTCCCGTACGTGCGGCCCTGGCCCCCAGCCTAGAAAAACC